TTTATAAAGAAGTTATTTTTTAAACTTGTTATGTATTATAGAAGTCTTTATTTAACTTAGAGCAGTTAAAGTTATTAATAAAAGACTTATGAGAAATGGCTAAACATTGCCAAAAATTTGCATCATTTCAAATATAGTCATAAAGGAAACTGCCTTGTAGACTTCTCCCCTATTCTGTATTTGCCTACCCTATGTTACTACAAAGGGTGTTACCATTTAAGCACTAAAGTTTTAAGCTGGGATTCATTAAATCAGAGTACTTAATTTTAATCTAATGCTTACAGAAAGAAATCATTGTATTTTCATTAAGTGCTCTCATGTTTAATAGGAAGTCTATTTTCTTCCAAATTGTATAAAATCAATGCAAGATATTTTACACATTAGAAAATAACCATACATTGTTTATTAAACATCAAAAAGAACAGAACCCAAATTAATTTCCTGTCAAAAAAGTGAGAATTGTCATTCAACATGGAAGATTTATGCTTACAAAACGCAATTATTTTTAAGTAGATACTGTTATTTTTTGAAGTGATACAATTTGATAATATAATTAAATAAAAAGTAAGTTAAGCCGCAAATTGTAACATTGCCATTATGAATTACCATTTAATATTTACATGTAAATTTACAGGTGAAATGTTCAAATATAATTACTTGGGAATTTTACCTGTTCATTTTGGTTATTTTGGGTGTCATAAAATATGAAAGAACTAACTTTTCATTCTGATAAGGTATAGGTAGTAGTGGGATCCAGTTTTTGGTGTTCTAACAAGGCACCATCTGTGTCTTACAAGAGGTCATAGTATAAAGTTCTAATAAGATTTTTCTGCAGATGGCACCAAACACATCAACCTAAGGTCAGATAAACCTTAAAAAAATACAGTCATATTTCTAGAAAGCTCAGCCAGAATGCAAATAAATGCAAATGTATTCTTTAATTATAATCAGTTTTTCAGTTCAAAAAAGGTGAATATATAAATGTATTATTTAAAGAAAATTCCATTTTAAAAAATTCATTTGGATTGGGAGCCATAATTTGTACATTTGTTTTTCACAAAGGATGGTTTTCAAATAGATATGAGTTCCTAGTTTCTGTAAGAGAATAGACTTGATATAGGGTCTTTTGGGTTACACTCCACCTGGTACATAAGATTAGGATGAATTGATATATTAAAACTTTAGATATGGAGGGGAAATAGGAAGCACTGACTCTTTTTGACTATGATCCCCAGTCCAGACAGGACAGGATAGACCATGAGCTGGCAACCTAGAGCCAGTGCAAAAACTCTGGTCCACTGCCTGTTTTGTAAGTGGAGTTTTAGTGGAATACAACCACACTTGAAGAGTTGTCTATTGCTGCTGTTGTGCTCCAATAGCAGACTTATGTAGGTACCACAGCAAAGATCTGGCCTGCAAAGCCTAAAATATTTACTATTTGGTTCTCTACAAAAACTACTTAAACCTGATCTTGTTCACCAGGGTTCAATACAAATAAAAAGCAAATCACAAGTCAGGTTCGTAATTTTAAATTGACATATTAAAAAAAAGGAAATGAGTGAAATTGACATTAAAAATATGTTTTATTTAACCTTACATATGATAAATATGACCATTTTAACATGTGGTGCTGGCTGGCCATAGTTGAAGTGCTCAACAGCCACATGTGCTTAATGGCYGCCACATTAGGCAAAGCTCTAAATAAGCAACCAGGGGAGCTGAGACCCACTCTAGAGATAAAGTCAGCTCAGCAGAAGGCATTCCCAGGACATTACAATGGGCCTAAAATGTGGCAGTTAACATAATCCTTCTTTTCCTTTTACTCACTTTTCAGGCAAAAAAAAAAAAAAAAAATGCAGAATTTAGGAATTTAAAACCAACCAATCCCAGACAAAAAGGCCTTTCTCCTTGAAATACAAGAAAGCTACAAAAATTTCTGCCATGTAGAAATGATATTAACAAGGATGTTTATTCCCTACTTTGAAGTTAAATTCCTCCCACTGCAATTTATACAGGTTCTATCTTGTTTTATCCTCAGCAGTATCTAAGAAAAGCAGCTTCCCATCACTAATATGATATCGTATTCCATTAAATCCTTTAAGACTCTGACCATCCTCTCCTATCTCAAAGATTTTTCTTTGTCTAGCTGCACAAATTCAACTTCTCTAACATTTCAGACTGGACCCATTTTCAAAGTGTTTTTTTTTWAATTTTTTATTGTATTTACTGTTTTCTTTTAAACCTCTCCCCAAATCTTAAGCACTCTTTAAATGAGGGAAGAAAAGCTGAATATGACATTCTCGAAATGTCCTAATGTTGCCAAACAAAAATCAATCGTTCACTCACATGTCTGACATGCTATTCTTTTGTTTCATTGGTTCACCCTATTGTTAGAGTATTTTACTTGTATCTCACTAAAACACACACACACACACACACACACACACACACACACACACACACAAATCCTGAAATATAAAGTAAGCTTAGACACCCAGAATTTCATGGGCTTACTATATTTCCACCTATAAAATGAGCGTGATTTAAATCCTCTTTTTGGAAGTTGATTTTTTTTTCTTCTGAAAATGATGCAAGCATTTTGCTATGTGAATAATAAGGAGAACGGGGCACTTAAAAGCACCTTTGAATTTCATACTTATCAAAGTTGTAAATTAAAGAAGATTAAGATAAAACAATCTAAACAGTCTTAACTCTAAGAAGATGAAATGTTAAAAGAACAAATTAATAATAGGTAACGAAGATACCTAGTACATAACTGGAAAAGATATAACTTAGAAAACAAATAAAAATATCTGTAGTTAACATTACACACAGTAACAACAGAAGTATAGTGTGTAGAACAAAGGAGGTGATAGTCCTGTTGAATTCAGTTCCTCTCCAATTATAAAGAATAAAGATTGGAAACTGTAGTCATCTAAGGTTTTAGGGCATCAGTTAGAAAATAAAGTTGAAATCAGCCTATGAGTAGAAGACAATGACTCTGGCATTTTATTGCTTCCTGAAGTCAAGAAAGATAAGAAAGTTACAAATTACATTTAAAAAATGAAATTTATAAATACTGTTATTTCTACCTAAAGGGTAGCTCTGAGGTTCTCCAAGAAACTAAAAGAAATAGCAATCWGTTTACCTTCTGGGAATTAAACTAGTAAAATTGGCACTTGAATGAGATTTCCTCCCACAGATCTTAAGCATCTGAAACACACAGGTCAAGARACATTCAGCTCTCCCCAACCATTTCTGCGCCTTCGCACTGACACACAGTCTACTGAGAGCAACAAGGCAGCCTCTGGACAGGAATGTGTGTCCTTCAGCTGCACTCACTGGCTGCACTTTATTTACCCCAACCTTATATGTGTGATTCAATTTCCCACCTTATGTTCAGTTGTGAATGTTAAAAGTTTCATTGTATCGATGCAATTTTCCTTTAAAAATAACTCCTTTTAAGTTAGAAATAAATTTTTTAAAAAACCCAGATTCTGACAACCTAAAATAAATGACTAAATAAAAAAAGAGGGGAAAAAAAACTGTTACATAAGCACTGAACTTAGTATCTGAAGGAAGAAGGTATAAACAAAATAGGTTAGTCTAAATAAAATAGTAAGAAGACAAATACAATCTTTGGGAATTTTTCATTGTATATCAGTCTTGACCAAGGAATACAGTAGCATGATGGACTGAAAGAGTTGACTGTATTTGACTCAGAGCTCAGTGAACCCTATGGCTCTGACTTCATGTTCATCAAAGGGCCTTTATTATAATTGGTGCTGTTCCAGTCTCTGTGTTAGAGGATGGACAGAATTCCAGTTATATTGGCAATTGTAAAATGAGTGTTTTTCTTGTATATATATTCATTTTTAGGTGTTTCGTTATGTTACACAGTTCTTAAATTCTGACTCAGTTGACCAATTCTGGACTCTGATAAAATCTAAATCAGGTCTCTAAATCTAAAAGTGTGAAGATTATGTGCTAACACCCKGTTACTAGCTCTGCTGCTCTGAGACATGGCTTGGACAGCCACTTGGCCTTTCTTGATGATAACACATCCTTTACCACTAACTATGTATGTACACATGAGATAAAARATGGTCTTATTCAAAGTTGTTATTAATGGTATTTGAATACCATTAAAATAATGGAAAATACTAATCTGTCATTCATCAGCTAAATCTTGACTTAGAAATCCTGTTTCCAACATGTCCTTTAAATAATTTTAATGAAAAAAACTAAGGTTAATAGATGAAACATAAAAAACAACCATACATTAAGCCATAAGAAAACAATAAAGCATGATGCAGCCATTAACAAATAAAATTTACATATATTAGATAACATTATGAAAATATGTTTACGTGAAAAGATACATTAGATATGTGCATATAAATGGCACAGTTAAAACATGCTGAGGAGATAACTCAATGAAGAAGAAAAGATGGAAAACAATCTCTTAAATAAAATGATAATATCATGTTTAAAAGTGAAAAACAATCAAGGTATTACAAATTTCTGGTTTATGAGAATAAATGCAAATTCTATCATTGTTTATTGACTAAGGCTTGGAATCCTAAAGAGGTGGGGATCCCATAGATGCTGAGTATATCAAAAGCATTATCCATGCAATGATTTAGTTGATAACTTCTTGTTTATTTGCAAATATATGTTTAAAAGAGGTCAAATAAGCTCAATTGAAAATTAAATTGGACACACACTACAGAATGTAACTTTTCCTCCTCTCTGAAAACCATGTAGAATTTGATTTAAATTTTGATAAGCCAGAAACCTATTGTGTCAAAAATAATGCCATAGCAAGGATAATATTCACTCAAAAACTGTCCTAATTCACCCAAGATCACTTGGCAGATTCGATCATCTCTTAGTTCTTATTTTTGTGTCTGAAGTGCCACCATGTATTTATGAATGCATATTACTTCTTACTCAAGTTGATAATGTTCTTGGTGAGCAGCAACTTGATTTGAACTTACCTTACATGAAGACTCCACCTGCAGACCAGGGCAAGGTATTGGCCCAAGCTGGTGGGAGCTGGAGGATCTCTGTTCTATACTTTTGTGCTTATGTGTCTCTGAGGTAACTGAAAGTGCAGGTTCAGGYTTTAGAAGCTGCAAATCATCACAAGAATTAAGAATAATTCTCGCTCTTTCTCCTGTCTCATGTCTTTCCAAAGTGCCTGGAAAACAAGAGTAGGAATAAAAATCTAAGCAAAATATTTATCCTCGTAGAATAAAAAGACAGAACACAAAACACTCTTAATTGAAGCATCGCAATTCTTTAGGTTATCATGCCTGATTATCTTCTTGCAACCCCAAACAAAACAGCCTGGGAGATTTTTCTAAATTATTCAAATCACCCTCTCCCAAAGTGAAATTAAAGACTTGAAAAGCTTGTCTTCCTTCGTGTGCTTTTTCAGCTGCTGAAATCAACAAGACATTCAATAGTCTTTAACAGTGAAATCTCTTATTTATTATACAGTATGCAAGTGATCAATAACAAAGAGCGATGGAATATTTTGGTGCTGTCCCCTAGTGTTCCAAATCACAAATAACAGAGTCAATAGTAGTCGGCTTGGACACCAGGTTGACAATGTTTCTGTTGGTAATATAAAATTTGAATGATTAGGATAAATAGGAATACAGATGTTTTGCTCTTTTTCCTGTCTCATGTCTTTCCAAAGTGCCTGAAAGTGCCTCACCGCTTTGGTCATTCCATTTTTATTGTTGGTATGTTGTTATTATATCTGTTAGGTTTTATTTCTTATATTTTTAGAAGGGAAAATAAATCCCTTGCCCTCTGCTATTCTTCCAGTTCCAGAAGGGGTGGCTGGCAAGTCCAAATGAGAGTTAAAAAGGTGCTGGCAAGTCCCAGCTCCTTTAAAATCTAATGGTAGTGCAGGGGCAGGAAACATCTGAAAACTAATTTGCTACAATATTTAAAAGGACAAGCATAAAATAGAGCAAAAGTGTCAGAAAATAATTAACAGATAGTTGTATTTTTACGAAATATGATACCATGCACTCAGGAAAAACTCAATCAATGAAATAATCATGACCTCTATCTCATGAGTTCATTTGCCTTATTAGTACTATAACACATTTTCCTCCAATTGAATAAAAATGCTAAGGGAAATAAACTTGATAAATAATACCTAAATATAGATTTCATATACTCCTTTTCTACTGCTGAGAAAGAAAGCTATGTTATTTAAGGAGAAAGATTATTAATTGTTATTGATAGTAATAAGAGAATATTAACTAAAAAAATTACAATAGGAAAATAGTAATATATACTATAAACCATGATGGCTTCAGATAGGTAGACAGTTTTGAAGATTAGAAATCCCAATTCTTCCTCATTTCTCCTTCTTTCTTTCAAATTCTTCCTTTGCAGAAACTAAACTACCATTAGTTGGTATGTTGGATTCTGAACCTGTAATAGCTACCATGCTAATCTTGCTGACAGAATTTTAGTCTTGACTCTCTTATAACAATATTTTCTCTTATAATTTTTCTATATTCATAAATCAACATCTTTAAAATATTAAACTTATAGACATTCTCTTAAGCTTTCATTTTACATCAAGATTGATATTTTCAAAAAAGGGAGTTGGCAACATGAAGAAAATCTTTTCTTTCAAGAATGAGAAAACTTCCTCAAATCAAAGATACTAGTTACTAAAGCTTCCTTTAAAATTAATGCATTCAAGAACTTTTAACTGTTTCACCTGTAAAATTCACCATCTTTCTAAGAAGTCTCAGTTGGAACACAGGTTCCGATATTTTCTTCTCATAGGTTTTCTGCAGTTCATCAAAATATGATGTATTAAAAATATTTCAAGATTTTCTTTTTTTCGACAGGGTCTTGCTATGCTGCTCTGGCTGGTGGACACAGACTCCTAAAGCTCAAGCAATCCTCCTGCCTTAGCCTCCCTTGTGGCTGAGACTATATAGAAGTGCACCACCATGCCCAACTTTTGAGGATTGTTGAAAAATAATTTAATGCACTTTAACACATGGCTCATGTTCCTTATACTATATATGTATAAGRCACATTTATGTATTGATATGGTTTATTTTATACTATCTTACACAAGTTCAACTATTTCTTATAATTCTTGCATTTTTCAGTAATGACAATAGCTCACCTAGAAACTTGTATTCACACACAGATAACTAATCTGCTCCAACATCTACTCTGCTATTTACAGTGACAAATGTTAACAATGTTTTGTAAATAAGAACGATTCAGACCAGGAATACTTGGAGCTCCCTTAAAATCTAATAATAGTACAGGAGCAGGAAACATATATAAAAACTAATTTGCTACAATATTTAAAACAAAAAAAAAAACATGCTATTTTCACTAATAAGTAAAAATCTCTCATTCTAACAAAATATTAAACATTTGTCTTTGTAACAGTTTCTCTTATGATTAATTATAAAATATTTGAAATATGATGGATATTATTTTGTTTCAAAGAACCAATTTAAGCACAAATGTGACATAATGAATGTTAGAGTCAATTTCTTTAAAAGTTATAGAGACAGTGCTCGCTTCGGCAGCACATATACTAAAAAATTGGAACGATACAGAGAAGATTACCATGGCCCCTGCGCAAGGATGACACGCAAGTTCATGAAGCGTTCCATATTTTTAAATAAAAAAGGAGAGAAATGAATTACAGTAGATGGGGTAGAGAGAGAAGATGGGAGGAGAGGAGAGGGGGGATAGTAGAGGATAGGAAAGGTAGCAGAATACAACAGTTACTAATATGGCATTATGTAAAAATGTGGATGTGTAACCGATGGGATTCTGCAATCTGTATTTGGGGTAAAAATGGGAGTTCATAACCCACTTGAATCTAATGTATGAAATATGATATGTCAAGAGCTTTGTAATGTTTTAAACAACCAATAAAAAARGRAAAAAAAGTTATAGAGACAAATTTTAAAAACAACATATTCAAAACAGTAATTTGATTTTGCAATAAGTCCAACACAATAGCTTTTGAAAGCCCTTAGTCAAATTCTGATAATGGTTAGAGATTCCCATGTGTGCTAGTTATCATTTTATTGTCCCCAAATTAGTTCCAAATTCACCCTTCATTACCTGCTCTGGGAAAGTGGATATGAATTCCATGGATATTTTTCCTTTAGTGGATAGTGCAATGTGAACCTTTATGAATAGAGATTGATGGAAAGGTCTAGCWGAGGAAAGGGTTTTTCCTTCTTGGTTTGGTGTTCTCTCTTGCAACAGAGCTTCCCAAGCACCAAGTAGCTTCCTTTGTCACATTCTTTGGGCAGTTCTGTAAACTTATTAGTGTTTCTAATAAGACATCTTTCTGTAAACCACTCTACCTGGCACCTTAGAGGACATATTCCTGGAAAGTTCCACCAACGCCCCGCCATGGCAGCTTCTCTGCCATCTAGTAACAATATATGTACCTTCTTCAGCAATGTCAGGAGCTTAGCCTTGGGTGGGGGGAGCGGGGGTCTCTTCCTAGGTCAGGCTATCTGACTTCTAGGACTAGGAGTTGTTTTTTTAAATCTGCTATTCCTATATTCTTTAGAGTTCTTTTTACTTCTTACTAGCCCTTTCTTCAAATGAAAATTCTTTGTGATAGTTCACAATCCTTTATGTGAAATTTTCTCCTTAAATCACTATGTCACTTCTCCGCCCTGAGTAGATCCTGATGGATATGCCTAGATAAATAACTTCTGATGCAGAATGTTCCTTTAACTATATTATGCTATTCATGGAATTTATGCTACTTCAGGGATATAGTTAAATTGTTAGAGGGAGTCTATAGCTACAACACAAACAAGGAGGGTGGGCAGCACCATAAGGAGGAATGTTGGCAAGGGATGCTTTTGCATCTTTTTTGCACTGGACAAGAGACAGAGTTTCTGCTTCCTGATGTTACAGAAATACCAGAAACTGAAGGTTCGATTATTTAATTCAAGTTCCAATTAAAAAAAAATTTGCTTCCTAAAGTTAACTTTATGATAATTAGAATAGGATTTAACTTATACTTAGCCATTGGAATCAGTTTGAACATGATCAGAAAAGATGTTGACACATGTAGGAGTGAAGCACTCCTAAAAGTTATGATACTATCTCTTCCCTCCAAGTAGATATGCAAAAACACCTTAAACTCTATCTGGTCACTGCATAAAATTTTTTTTAGTAAATAGTTTATATTTTCTATTGTTTATTTTATTAATATGAGTTTTGATACAATTTATTTTGGTTCTAAGCTATTCCCTGAAGATCRTGGCACTCAAAAAATTATAGTTATATTATGTGCATGTACTAACATGTAACAATATGTAAGTACTGTGTACAAATATAATGCACCAAAGAAAAAGAAAAAAAGTCCCAGGTTTTGAGACCCTTTGGGTTTAGAATTTTTAGATTAGGAATGCTAAATTGGTAAAGTCTATAAAAATATTTCCCAATTTAAAAATATATATGAAATCTAAATTCTGGTCCCAAGAATTTTGAGTAAGGGATATTCAACCTATGATATATAAGAGAAAGGAGATAATCATAAGAAAAGAGAGCTTAGAACACTTAATATCCTGATAAGCAATTCTGGATCAAGTTTTACTGATCCAAAATTGCTTACCCCCAAAAAAGTCAGTGCATAAAAACAGGACTGTCAAGATCCTGAACCCGTATGGACAATATTTTCACTTGTATATCTGCTTTCACTGTCATTTCAACACATCTAATAGCATCCATTAAAAAATGTTTTAAGTTATAGTATTCTAGTGGCCATGTGGGCAGCCCTGTGTCTAGCAGAGGTTTTCTCTGTCCATCAAGATGGACACCAAGGTGACCTTGCAGCAGGGTGGTTCAGAGCAGACTATGGCTCCCCACTGCTCTGTACTGAAGTACTCAGTTCACTCTTATAGGATGTAAGGCCTTCAGCAAGTTATTTTACATTTCTATACCTCAGTTTCCTCATCTGTTTAATGGAGATAAAAATAATTCCTATCTCACAGATTACTGAGGATTAAATTAAGTAAACATTTGAAGAGAACTTAGAGGTTTGGCATACAGAGATCAAGTGTTGTGCTATATGAYAGTGCCCTCTGTTACATGACAGAGTTTCTCAAACATCCCTTATGGTCTTTTAATAAACCACCTTGGCTCTCTGGCTCTGAAATT